AAAAATATTGTATTCCTTAAAGGTCCGGTGTGTAACATTTAGGAGAATCTATTGGCAGAAATTGAATATAATATTCAGAGGTATGTTTTCATTAGTGTATAATCACCTGAAAATAAGAATCATTGTGTTCATTAGAATGAGCCATTTTTATCTACAGAGGAAGCTACCATGATGAACTGCCATGTTTCTAGAGTAGCCCAGAAGAGACAAACCAAACACTGACTCTAGACAGGGCCATTTATGTTTTTTGCAAGTTTTGCGGCCACCGTAATTTCTCCTACAGGCTTTGAAGGCTGAGATGTATTCAGATGCTTGCAACCTGCAACTTTAACGCTAGATGCCACTAAATCCCACACACTGGTCCTTAAAGACAAAATCCTCACAAATTGGGTTTACATGTTCTAATTGTTAGGGTCCTGACAGGAAAAAGTTTGGGACCTACTGGATTAAGTTATATATCCCACTGGATTTACTGAAGTCATGCTATTTGAGACATAGTGCAGATGTGATTGGGAAGGGATATTGTAGTGGGAAAGGAAACATGCATTAGATATAGGCCCATTTATGATATAAAACTGTTAATTAGAAAAACAATGTAGCAATTAGGATGTTAATGATCACAACCGGCCTATCTGTTTATGCTAGGTGAACAAATAGTGGACAGGAATTGAATTTAACCCTCAATAAACTGTAAAATTACGACTGCAACTATTGCAAGCCCTAAACATTTCAACATCACCTCTAGCTGCTCTCTCTCTCACTCTCTTTCTCTCTCTCTCTCTCTCATTTTCTGTCTCTCCTTTAATTTGTACTTCCTTTTTGTTTCCCATGAACGTTTTTCTTGCCTACTAATGTAGGCTATTAATAATGCTATTCTAATTTCATCGCCTAACTACATTACAATGCTCTTACGTGTATTTGTTAGTAATAAAAACAGAATAATATAATACTGTGAACAGAGCCATTCTCCCTAATGAGTACTTTTACTTTGGACACTTTAAGTACACTATGCTGATAATATTTCTGTACTTTTACTTAAGTAACATTTTGAATTCAGGACTTTTACCTCTAATGGATTATTTTTAGATTGTGGAATTTCTTACTTAAGCTTCTGAGTACTTCTTACACCACTGCTAAAAGCTGCTTTAAGTACATAAAATGTGAAAATGCAACATATTAAGGAACTTTGCTTTGCCTATTACACTATTTTCATATTTTGTTCCAGAAAATGAGCCCTTTTATAAAATGTAAAAACAAAGTAATGAGCACGTGGGTTTTAACTGTGGATTGATGCTGGGAAGTTAAAGAATCTTATTTGAGCCTATAATTTAAATCTGCTTCAGAGAAAAAAAGATGAGACTATTAGAGAACATGGATGAATATGTGTTTACATCCAGTAATGTTTCTAGATATGTAGCCCCCCCAATTATTATTTTATAGCAAAAAAATCTGCAAAACTTTCAAGAGAGCGAAGCGGCTAAAAAAAGAGGTGACTGAGGCAGTGTCCACCAAAGCCACCCTCCCCTCTTTTAATAGACAACTAATGGAGAAAAATGAATGATGAATCCTAATGAAAAATGGGAGATGGGGGAGGAGGGGGGTATGTGTTTCCAACCATCCATGTCACATAATTTTGACTGTGATGAATTAAAGAAAATTATTGCAAAGTAAACTGTGTATTCATTGCAGGAGGTATCATTTATCACCTCCTGACCTGTCAGACTACTTAATCAATTAATGCCCATGCATTAATCCATCTTCAGTCTTTCCATAAAGCTAACACTGATGTCAAATGGAAGTGGTGATTCATCACAGGCTTTGAGAAAAAATACACAGTCTCTGTACAGACCACATGCTGAACCTACTTTAAATAAATACAATAATTAAAACAAATGTATTTTATTCCCATAACATTTAATGACAGTTCAGAAAAGTCAAATAAATAAAGGAAATATGAACATTTACATTCACAGCACAATATTTAGTGATTTAAATGCTCTTACTTTCCAACAATAGACTACAAGAAATATTTTCTTCACAATATGGCAACATTTGTAAAGATAATGTGCTAGAGAAATCTTTATTTCAATAGTAAAATTGTGGACTGTACTTACTGAAAGCAATGTACACTACTCACCCATCCACTGAGGGCTCTTGGCTGCCATTGAAGGAATCTTCATACACCGATGTGCAGCATCAGGAGCAATTAGAGGTTCAGTATCTTGCTCAAGGACACTTGAGCGAGAGGAGCCGGGTATAAAACCGCCAACCTTCTGATTAGTGGATGATCAACTCTACCTCTGAGTCACAGGCATACAACAGTTGGCTTTTATCAACAGACAGATATTTTTCAAACACCAAGCAAAAGCACAACACACTCACATGGACACTAGTATATGTTAGGCTACTCTGCTATGTGCTACATTCACGTTAAGATTTTCATCCTAACTGGAAATGCTATAGTCTTCACTTTTCAGACATGGGCCCTGGGGTGCTGAGGGGGCTGCAGTACCTCTTCAAATCTGGCACAATGAAAACCATTATTTCATAAATATGTTCAAACTTGTAATGACTTGCAGGAAAGAGGTTTTACTTTTCTTTTTATGTTTTATCTGCAAAAAAAGTTTGAATAGATGTTTTTAATAATAAATAAATCAAATAAAAATAAATGATCCACCAAAATGCATTTAGCATTTAGTATGATGCCTTTATATAGAATGAGTGTCTCTCAGCACCCCCAACTCTGACTGACTCCCAGCGTCCCTGCTTGTAAATGTTATACCTCACACCTCAGCTTCAAGCCAGGTAAGTCAAAAAGCAAAACCTTTTTACTAAATAATAAAAAGACTCAAATTCAAGAGCAGTGTATTTATTTACAGTAAGTACAAATTCAATTGTATATCTATGCATGATGCCTGGCTGGTCATATACTTTGCTGTAAAACAACAAACGCATCACTTCCAGACAAACCATGTTACAAGAGTATTGCAGCAATGAGAGCTTTACATTTTTAACCCGTGGCATCTTGGCATTCTCTTCTTTAAATGTCACCAGTCTCAATGTGTTGCCTTCAATGTATGTGTGGTAAATTCGTTTTTCCCACGGAGCGGGAATGCATCATGTGACCAAATCAGCTGATGTAGAAAAAAAGAGAAGCCGCGAGCAGGCCGCCTCCTCGTGTGACGCACGGTTCACGCTACGGTACGCCATTTGTGTCTAGCAGCAAAAAGCGCGGACAGTGGAAATAGTCGTATAAGAAGAGGTAAGCTCAATCGTGGTTACACTGTATTGTCTAATCATTGCTCGAATTGGTGTTACTGAAACGATAGACAACTCTCTGGGGTGTTTTTAAGGACTGTTTCGGCAATATAGACCACTGTTTCAGAGGTCGATGTTAGCCTCCTTTTTGGGCCTCTGTGCTGCCGTCGTTTTCCAAGCCATGGAGCGACCTAGGCCCGCCTTAGTCCCGCTGTGATTGGACTGCACAACATATGCAGCGATTTAATTGGCGGCACTGCGCGCATCTCAAAATACAGTGGGGGAAACATGTCGCCTGTTAGCATGTTAGCCGCGGTAGACGGCGACGGTATCCACAACAACTTCACCGGGTTCGTGTCCTCGGTCAGCAGCCTGTCCGCCACGGGAACAGTTTTCACGCAGCCTTTTACACCGCAGCGCTGGCTGTTCTGCGTTGGTGCTGCAGTTCCTAACGTGCAGTCTGAAACCTGTTCGGATATCCTAATATTACTTTTGAGCTAGTATTAGACAATTGGTACCGAAAACCGCTGGAAATTCTCCCAAATAAAGTTAGCAAGGTCGACATTGTAAGTGAATTGCGTTCGTAGTGTTAAATGAGGACGGAGTTGTAACCAGAAGCAGACGCTGTACTTGTGGTCCATCTGTTACTGTGGACACCGCTGTCTTCTGCTCGCATTAAACACCGAGAAACAAGATGGACACGAGTTAAGACCCTTAATAATGCACGTATAAGTCACTCTCCATCTCGGCCCATCATCGACTTATTGTTGGCGACCAAATAAACACATCACTGACTCCAACTTGATATGGTGTCCCTTCTGCTATTCGTGTAGTCAGTCGTATCCTGCCAAAACACACAGTGGATGGCGGTAGTGAGCACAATGAGCTCATTCTCAAAGTTGAACTTCCTCGAAAAACAGTGCTCATTGGTTGACCTTAACAGAACCCTCTGAACCACGCACACCACTTTTCATGGATGGCTACTATATTTACATTTGCCAGAACAAATTGGCTTGTTAGCAGCAACTAGACATAAACCACCACACAGGCCAATCTAGAGTAAAGACATCATTGATTTCACTGAATCCTTACCAATAACACTGGATGGCATTTACATATAAGGTACATAATATTCATAATGATGACTGTGATGATGGTAGCAATAGGAATAATGATAATCATGATATTTTAAACCCTTGTGACAGTTTACACATGTAATGTGGAAAATGGTCTGGCTCATGATATTAGTTGCTCAAGGTGTCCCCTATACAAACAGTGTATTATATGGTGGTTGAGAAAGCTGCCAATAAGTAAAACAAGCAAACTAAGAAACCCATTCATCAGCCTGTGTGCACAAGACACATCCTGCACAGAAAATACAAGCAAATATAGAAACACTTATTGCAGCGGTCCCATATAATGTAAAATCACAGTTCATAATTGCCCCCCAAAAAAGACACATTAGAAATATGCTTATTCATAACTAAATGTTAAGCTGTACCTAATATACTATTACTGATTTAACTGTCGCAATGGCTGTATTTCTACTGAATCATGTTTACCAGCATTTAGTAATGGTTCTTAAACCAGCAATGACATATGCATACTTCATTAAATGTCTGTGACTTACGTGGACTTGTTTTTTCTAATGTAATAAGCAGCAACAGCCAGCTCTCATGCTGGCGTGTTTTTACCTTACAGTTTGTATCTGGAAGCACTAGATGGCGACATTTACTTATGTTGAGCCAGATACCGTTGTTGAAGGCTTGATCACTTTTTCAGACACTTAACTTGTTTTCAGATGTTTCTTGCATTCTGTGAATTGTGTTTCAGACAATTGAAGATTTTCTTGTGTTCTTTTCCCCCCAGGAGTTTGATTCACCTTTGATGACAGAGATCAGCTTCACTGTTATGTAATTATAGCAGGATATGATATGGATAAAGCCTTGATATCAGGAAAGGAGGCTGTTGAGAACAACGTGTCTGAAAATGACACCAGTGGGAAGGTGCAGCCAGATGATGTGGAAATGGAGGAAACTAAAAGAGACTCGCCCAGTAAGACTGCCAAGCCTGATGAGGAAGTCAGTGAGGGGCTGCGGCCAGACTCCGTACCTGAAGATGGAGATAACCTCTGCACAACTTGTGGCTTCTCGGCCAAATGTCCAAGATCACTGAAGATTCACTATGCAAGAAAGCATGGGAATAAATCTAAGGATACCAATAGAACTGCAAAGCCAGCTGAGAAGAGCGAAACCATCTCTGACGTGAGTTCAGCTGAAATCCAGCAGGAAGTAGACATGGAGACAGAAAGTTCTGCTGAAGTTAAGCAAAATGAGTCTGATCTTGACAATGACAATGGCACAAACACAAAGCGTTTAACTAAAAAGGAAACCGTATTAGACAAACAGCAGGCCGATCAAGAGGAAGCAATCTGTACCCAAGAGAGAAGAGTGAGCAAGCGAACCCCAAAACCTAAGATGATATATTCCTGCAACTACTGTGGGCAAGAGTTTAGGGACAAGGCCCCTCTAGATGTGCATATCCAGAGATCCCACACCAAAGACACCCCATACACATGTGAGTATATGCTGTTCTCCAGTTCAGTCAATGTTGCAACCCAGCCTAAAAATGAGTTCACGTCATTCTAAAGCTGTTAGATAGTTCAGTCAATTTGAAGCAGGAATGTTTCATCAAAATACTGACAGATTTGAAGTCTTAAGCATTACATGTTAATTATATCAAAATTCTGTTTTGAGGGCAATTGTCACTTCATATATAATTGATATTAGGTTTTTAGTTGAAATGTTTTTTTTCACTATTTCTGCATTTATTATTTAAAGTTAGAATTGCACACAGAGTTGTTTTAGTTGATGGCTGAATAGAGATTTAAAGTGTATCTTTGAAATGTCTTTCAGTTGAAGCTGATGAGAACATGGATAAAGAAGAGGTAGCTGAGGACCCTGGCAGCACTGTGAAAGCTACTCCAACACGAATGGCGACCAAACGTACACTCAAAAGGTTCCAGCTGAATTGTAGACTCTGTGATTTTAGGGTTAGCACCCCTGCAATGCTGGAGACCCATGCTCGAGCCAAACACCTGGACCAGGAGTGGTACCACTGCAAATTGTGTAACTTTTTTTCGGCCACATCTGAGTGGATGCAGGCTCACCTGTCTTCAGATAGGCACATGCAGCAGGAGAAAGGCGAGAAAACCCCAGAATCTTCCGCATTTGAAGTCTACGTTGAGAGTATGTACAGAGACAGTGCTGGAGAGGGGGCCATTATAGATGATATGACTCTGCTGGCTGATGAAGAAGGGGTAGCTACTTTGACAGAAGAAGATCAGGAAACTGAAGAGGCGTCGGAGGCTGCCAAAGCTGTGTCTGTTGAGAAAGAAGATTTGGAGCTTGAACCTCCCAGAAAGAAAAAAGGAAGACCAAAGCAAGGGTCCACGACTACTTGTGGATACTGTGGCCTGGTAGTGTCCAACGCTACGAACCTTAGTGTCCATGTCCGCCGCAAACACAGCAAGGAGTACGGCTACAGCTGCACTCTCTGCAACTACAGCTGTGTGACCAAAGGAGACATGGACCGTCACTGTATCACAAAGAAGCATGTAAGACGTGCACAAGAGTGTGCAAATAAGAACCCTGACCACAATCACAACAGTGCATCACCACAAGAACCCACAACTACACAAGCCCAGGAACCAAATGCAGCCTCAGAGACGTCTGACAATGAGCAGGAACCTGACAACACGGCATCCAATGAACAAAGTGGAGAAGCGCAAACTCAGTCAGACACAAGCCAGAAAAAAAGTAAATATGACTCTGTTAATGCTTGCAGCCATTGCGATTTTGTAGCTCAATCAATCCCTTCGCTCCATCTTCACGTCAAGAGAAAGCACACCAAAGACTTTGAGTATGTCTGCTTAGCATGTAGCTACTATGCCGTAACAAGCAGAGAAATGTCTCGCCATTCCAACACAGAAAAGCACAAACAGAAAAGCCAGAAATACCTGGAACCATTGGGGAGTGATGGGCAAAGAGCTTTGCCAGTCCCACTGAAGCTGAACGAGGTCATTGAGCTTGTGGAGACGAACTCTAACCCTGAAGGTGAACCTCCTAGCCCCACAGAAGAGCCTGAATCTTGTTCTGATGACAGCCAAGCGATGGAAAGTCAGGACGCAGCTGCACCCTCGGTCACCACAGAACCTGTCGATGTTGCCGCTAGTGTGGCTGGCAGTACAGACGAGAAGCAAGAAGAGATTATTACTTCTTCCAGTGGTGGCGAACCAGATCCAACCGACCAGACAATTGAACTCACAGCGATGTCTGAACCCCAGCAAGCTCCAGCAGAACCTCAACCTGCAGAGGATCAGTCCGCACAGCAAGAGAGCCAGGAGGAAGGGGCTAATCAAGCAGACGCTGAGCACTTAAATGCAGATGAGATGACTTCAGATGAAAAAAGTGACAGCTCTCATTCCGATACCCAAATGTCCAAAGCCCCTCCTTTTGATGCCTGCATTGTATCCATGAAGGCCCTCGCTGAGCAGGAGCAGGCGCTGCAGGAAGGTCTGGCTCTAGAAGGCGAGTCTGCTGTGATATGTCTGACTGGAGGAACCCCGGTGCCCTCTGGCTTCCCGCCCTCCAATTCTGCATATGTCAAGAAGCTCAAACGCAAGGAAGCGAAGGTGAGAGAGGAAGCCAAAGGAAGTAGCCCTCGCATACGCTGCGAGGACTGTGGCTTTATGGCCGACGGCATCAGTGGCCTCAACGTCCACATTTCAATGAAGCATCCGTCCAAGGAGAAGCATTTCCACTGCTTGGTGTGCGGCAAGTCATTCTACACCGAGAGCAACCTGCACCAGCACCTGACCAGCGCCGCCCACCTCCGCAACGAGCAGAACAGCGTGGAGGAGCTGCCGGAAGGAGGCGCTAGCTTCAAGTGTGTGAAGTGCACAGACCGCTTCGAATCGGAGCAGGATCTGTTTTTTCACATCAAGGAGAAACACGAGGAGCTTCTGAGGGAGGTCAACAAGTACGTTTTGGAGGACACGGAGCAGATCAACCGCGAGCGCGAGGAGAACCAGGGCAGTGTGTGTAAATATTGTGGCAAGGTGTGCAAGAGCAGCAACTCCATGGCCTTCCTGGCACACATTCGCACACACACCGGTATGTACCCTGCTTCTATTTACTCACACACTCTTCCTCTTTCTGCTACTCTCTTTGTCTCACACACATATACAATACATATTCACCAGTGCATTATGTAGGCTGTGTAAAAGAAGGTCAACACTATTATGCCTCATTTTATGTACACTGTTGGATAAAGTAACGCTACATGACAGCACAGTATTAGAAAGGTGTTTTTAATGCTTCATACCTTGCAAATATCTCTGCAAATATTTGAATTAGTAACTTGGTAACACATACTTGTATATGTATTGCGATGCAATTTATAAACTCACTTGGACTAGACATAAGATTTCCACTGATACACATTGAAATTGTGGTTCTTACATGGGCTCTTGATGCCTTATGAGCACTTGAACACATCGAGTTTGACTAGAAAATCTTAAAATGGAATCTCTTTGTGCAACTGCTCAGCTATTAGGCCTTTGTTTTTAGGTACAACTATATTGAGTGGGGAGACGCAGCCTCTTCTTTGGCAGCTCAAGCTAATGTTAAGGCTACTATCTGCTGCAGCCAGGTAATAGCTGATTCAGTAGAGGTGAAGGTAAAGACTGATTGAGCTTCAGACCAGCAGGAGAGACGCTAATGGACCCCAGATTGGGATTCCCTGAACAACGCTTGGTCAGAGACATGTGCGACTCATAATTGATGTGTCCATTACCAAGACTCAGTTGTAATTATAGTCAATAAGTCTCTGTAAATGTGTTAAAGCTTAGGCTAAAAGCATTGGAGGTCCAAAGAGAGGTGGGCTAATAATTTAAAATAATCAATGCAGACGTATTCAAAGCCTTTAATTTCCCTTGTGTCTGTACGTCCATGTTTGTGTATATGTGTGAGCACTCGTATACCTAGCGAATGTGTGTATATGTCAGCCTTCATGGCTAGCTGATTATGCTCAATCCATTAAGATTTATCTTGTCATTTATAATGCAAAGCAGGGCTGCGTCGACCAGGGCTTCGGCTGGGAAATGTCCGGCAGGTTAAGAACATAGGGCGCTCCATTACTTTTCCCTGACCATGTGTATTAATTGCTTTTAAAATCAACTTAATGCGGGAACGAGATGTGAGGGCGCCATCAATAAATGCCCTTCTCTGCCTCTTTTGGTTCACCCCCATTTCAGCCCAAACTTTAATGGGACTTTAATTGAAGTCTGTGCTCTGTGCTTACAATGTGTGTTCATGATTGTATGTGTCTTTGTGTGTGTGTGACGTTTCTGTTGAATGGGAGATGAAATAGGATTGTTTCCACTTTCAGACGTAGTGACAGTGGATGGTTTGTGTGGGTATTGTAGCTTTGTCTTGTAGCGCTTGTTCGAAAACCCAGAGGTTATATTCCCTCGGTGTCCTCACTAAATACTGGTGAAGTACTTAAAACACTGTGCTGATTTCACTCCATTATTTCATCATATGCCCATAAATAAGCTGAAATGTGTTGCAGGAAAATGTCCTGATATGCTGTTACTTCAGTTGTATACGAAGGGTAAGCAATGTGTTTGCTGGGGCAGAGGAATAATAGTTTTCCTCAAAGAAAACATTTTTCGTCCTTATATCAGGTTTGTATGTATGTCACCTTGTGTGGCCAAAGTCAGATTGCTGACTGCTAAAATCAGATTGCTTAAAGCTGTAAGAATTGGAGGTTAAAATCTTGATGATTAATGTTCAGCCACCACTTTCTTCTTATTAACGATTAGTCTATATGTATTCATAATTCTACCCTGTGTCATAATTCTTGAGTTTTGAGGTCACTTACTTAGTGTTACTTAAGAAAATGAAAGCTGTGACACTGAGGTCCCAACAGATGGCTTCAAGTCAAGGGCACATTATGAGGTTTCAAATGATGAATACTTTGTTTTTTAGGTTTACCTCTTTTTATTCAACTGAGTTATGTTCTTGTTTATTAAGATTACTTCTCCACTTTCATTTATGCTGTTCTTATTTGTGGAAAGCCCCTATTTCTCTTCATTTTGACAACATATGCCAGTTGTTATTATTGCTAAGTTCCCTCATTACAGTGAATTATTCACCTTTTATGTGGTGGTCATTTATTCTGGGAGTTTGTTTGTGGGGCTGTGGAGCTGCACGGTGGGGGTCTGCCAGTTTTCTGGGCTGGGAGCACGTCCAGATCCTTTTAATTAAGACCTAGTTTTTATTCACTTGATTAATCAGTGAAATCAGGAGACGGTAGTGGGAGGCTGCACACAGATTTGTCAATTTGTCCCTTAAAGGAAACACATACACATGCTTGCATTTTGCCAATGAGGGTACAGCTGGAATTTGCATTTTGAGGTAAATTGGTCACTTTTTCACTGGAGTGAGCTGTCTGACCTCAGACTGAGCCTTAAAGTAATGGACACACATGCCATGCGTGCACGTTCACATGCAGGACGTGATGTGTGTTTGTAGAAATAACATAAAGGGGAAACTGTAAGCACCCCACTGGCCTGCCAGTGTCTGGATTTTTAAAATTTTCTTAACTTTAGATAAATACATTTCTAAGATCCTTAAATCCTTAACATTATTTTGTGTTTTCTCCCATGATTTTATGTTTAAAAGCATCATGAAACATTAAATTCTCCACTGAAACTTCAAGCAGTGCCTTGTATCAAATTCAAAGTGGATGGAACTTGTAATCCACATATTTAATTTTTTGTGTTCCCATTTGTTGGGGAGTCCAAGTACATTTTGGGGTAGACAAAAATAGTACACATAAAATGTAAATATAATGCCTAAATGTTTTTTTAAGGATGAAGGATGAGATGTTGACTGCAATGCATGATTTCTATACTAACCATTGCTCACCATCAAAACTAATCAGTGCATGGAATATTGACAACGAAGGACCAGATGGAGAAAGGCGTTAAGAGGTGAAAGCTGACTCAAAGTGGAAATAGAAAATAGCCTGGGACAAAACTGAAGTATTTACAGCTCTAGGTTTAATTGCCGTTTTTCCATGCCAGCGCCTCCTGCTGCAGTGCTCACCGTGCAGGAAGTGGAGGGACTGGTGAAACAGTGTGTGCAGAGGGAAGTCTCCAGGCTTCAGAAGTATTTGGATGAGCTGGCACAGGACCACAAGAAGGCACTGGAGGACAACTCGTCTCTCAGGAGAACTGTCGGGGAGCTGGGACGGGAGCTTGCCAAACTTCGTGAGGATAACGATTCTTTCCAACAGCCTCTCCAGAGGACGGCAGACAGAGTAAACCCCAGTGGCAACGGTGGAGCCGAGAAATGTGAACAAGGGCAGTTTTCCCCGCTGAGCCTTTTGCCCTCTCCTAGCCCCCCGTGGACACTGGCTTGCAGCTCCTTCTCTAGGTGTGCGGAGCCACGAATTTCACCTCACTCTCGCCACCATCGCCAAACAGGACATCGCATCATACCTCTACACTGGCAATACAAACACCATCAGCAGCTAAGGTCCTACCGACCTTTGTTCTGCAGATCGTGGATCCAGTGGTAGAAGACACAATTTTCAAAATTATGAAACACAAACATGGCCCCTGCCGCCGGATGATTATGCAGCAAGGATGTTTATGATGATTGTGGACTTCTCCACATACTTGTCCTGGGCCAGAAGGTAAATTGGACCGGGTTGCATGGTAAACAAGGCCTTCCCAGGAATGTTATTCTTAAGTTGATGGACCTCCTCCAGCGCCGCAACGAAGATATTTCAGACCGAGAATGGAAAAACATTAGAAACTGCAAATGAAAACCCCAGGAAGCTGGACCCCAGGACTGAAAAGCTTTATCGTTGAAAAAACACTTACTGTACATTTAGCCGGTTAACGACAATCATATTGCTGTACAGTAAATTTCTTCGTGACACTTGCCGCTTTTAAATAATGTCCTTTTTAGTAAATTAGTGTAATCAATCATATATACATTTATGGGACTTAATGGGTTTAATCCTATTTCCAAATATTTCATTCTGATTTGTGCTGTTTATGTTGTAATGTCGGTTTCACATTAACAGTACTGATCCACATTTAAGCAGAGGTACTAAAATTGTTCTGCAGAAAAAATAGATCCCAATGTTCTACTAATGGGCCATAAGTGTGACATTCTCACAGGTAGCGAGGACACCCATCCCCCACAAGTCATCAATACATGAATTCCCAACTAATAATTTACTAACAGGTGTGTGCCGCTATGAATGACAGAATAAGCCTTCTCTACAGTGAAGTTTAGTTTGTTCATCATGAGGAATATCAGTCTGCTTGTGAAAACAGCTGCAGACTGTAATGTCTTCTGTGGCTCTGGAGAAGAAGTTTGGAAAAAAAAGAACCCTGTCGATGTCATCAGATTTATCTTGACTTGGAGCTAGAGAATTTTTAATAGAAAGTGAAGTTTGAAAGATGTGAGTCAGGTGGCAGGGGCTCTAATGAATGACACCATCATGTTGCATAATGCGAAATGAAGCTTATTATAAATTCTTTTGTTAGGAACTGTAAGTCAGAATATCTCTGACTGTGGTGCTTCAGTTTTAACATTTCTCTTTTTAATGTGTATTGTGAGTGAGTCCCCACTAAACTGCTGGAGTGCCCCTTTAATAATGACAGCTACATATTGTAAATGTTTGGGAATACAATCAAGCTTTGTGTATATAGACATACAGTATATTTCTCATGTGTTTGTGCTGACGCGCAGGTAAAGTTCTCCCAATGCGTGTGACTTGTGGCCCTACCTTAACCACATTCTAATCCACTCACTGTAATGTAAAATAGATCTATTGGTAGCCTACGCTAATTGAAAACAATGTGACGAATGAAAATAAAATTTGACTAATATCTGCAACCCCTTGTGTGACAGATTATGGTAACTTATACAGTGCTTGTAGGCCTTCAGCCAACTCGTGGCTGAAAAGTCAGACACTTTTAAGAGCTAACAGTGTATATTAGCTGGTTGTGGAGAGAAACCTAATAATGCAGACATTTATTTACATGAAATTACCATGCATTATTCTCTTCCTCCAAACCTTAAGATTAAAGCCAAGGCTACGATAGGAGTGTGTGGCATGCGCAAGACTTAAGACATCACCTTGTGTGTGTGTGTGTGTGTGTTGTGAAACGTTGCATGAGGTTCTTCTCTCCTCTCAGGAAATGAATTAGTCATTCCCTGTCTCATCTGGGATGTGAGGGAGCCACATCGCCCCTATGTGGATGGCAATATTAATTTAACATGACACTGCATTGATGGTCAATTTCAGTTTCACGGAGGCTGTTTAAGTGGAGTGGTGGAGTATTAATGTGATAAGATGTGAGAACTGAGGGACGTTACATCTCTCTCCTTTCTGCCATGTCTCATACTCAGCCAGCCATCTGGACAAATCAGCTCCCCACACGCCTCTCTCTCACCTCAACTTTAGGTTGTGTGTGTTTGGAGTGTGTGTGAGTGAGGAGGAGAGAGTGATTGTCTCTCCTTCTGTTTGTCCGCGGGTGATCATGTCTTGTGAATTTAACGTTTGTGTGTGCCTGTATGCACATGCATAGGTGTGAGGTGGGGTTCTGAATCTAGGTGTAGGTATGTGTAGGTGTGATGGTGGGTGTGGTGTGAGCACGTCAGTCTTTTTGTTTTTTACGGGTGTTGATGATTGTGTTGTGTGATTAATAATTTTTTATTTTTTTTAAGTGTGTGTGTGAAATGTGTCTTCACATTTAGGTGTGAAGTGTGTAGAATTCAATGTGTTTATCTGCTTTTTATTTGTTCTTGTGTATGTGCTTTTTTTGTGACTGTGTGTAGGGATTTGTGTGTGTGCGTGTGTAGTATACTGTAGGGACATGTGAAATGAAGAGGCTGGCTTTGCTGTTGCCCATGTGTGGACCCCCAACCGCCCCACCCACCTCCTGTGTTTATGGGCCTTGTTAGCACAGGCTTGCCTTTCAATCTTCGTTACCGGCTCAAAATTCAATGTGTCGTACTTCCAGCTCACAGCAAGTGAACCGTGTATGAACGAATTAGTAATCTACACAAAGTGCTTAATCAAATCAGCGGCTGCCCCTGGAATAAATATTGTAGAACGTCTTGGGATATTCACTGCGAGAGGGTGAGGGTTTTCTCAAAGATGCGTGTGTGGATATCATATCATACCAGGCTGCCACTTAGATTGCAGTGTCACACTTTATGCTGGCCTGAATGTGGCTCAACCCGCCAAACAAAATATCCATTTCATTCCGACCAAATATATGTTTAATTTAACAAAATATGTGGTTGAATTTAGAATTTGGTGTAGCACATGAGTTACTGATTTTGTCTAACATAAACAACCAGCTTTAAAGGACCCAGTTCCCTCTTTTAGCTCGAGCCAGTAGATGTTTGTGTGGTAGCATCAGCCCTCGCAGCTCTGCTCTTAAATGACGGATTGCAGGCAGAGGCTCTGCCACTCTTTCAAACGCTACCCCGCCCCCTGGACTTATTAATGACAATAATTAGGGAGAAACCTCCCTGCGAAGCCCGCCAGAGTGATTAGCGCTTTAATGATGGAATGGGAGGTAGTGAGCGCACACAGAATTGATTTACGTATTCGCCCTGACCTTTGAAATCCAATTTACGCATCCACAGGCAAAGGAAGAGTAGGTAAGAGATGAAGGAGAGTGACAAGGATAGATAGAGTGAAAGAAGCGACGCCTGGCACTTGGAGTGTGACTGTAGTTTTTATGGGGATTGTAGTGAGGGCATGTGTTTTTTATAATTCTGAAGTCATTTTGTGGTTGTGAAGTAGGTTGAAGTCCTAGCACAGAGCTAATAACAGTCGTACATGCCTGGCATTGAAAAATGATCTGGGATGTAAAATCAAATTTCTTCTCAGTGGTTATTCAGTCATGTTTTATTAAAATTGCCACCTCCTTCTTTCTTTCAAACATAATATTATTGTTGGATATGAACTCTCCTATGCTTTGTTTTACAGGATCCAAGCCCTTCACGTGTAAGATCTGCAACTTTGCAACTGCTCAGCTGGGAGACGCCAGGAACCACGTGAAGAGACACCTCGGCATGAGAGAGTACAAATGCGACATCTGTGGGTGAGTTACATCTTATAAAAAGGATTGAAAAGAATTTCTTTCAAAGCAAGGATATGACATTGGCACGGAGTGGAACAAAACCTCTGCTTTGTTCCAACTTAAGTAAGGTTGGAGACGGAGGGGGGTCCAATCAGTAGAAAACTAAACATTAAAACAGAAAGTCTGGTACTTTTCCATTATTTACAAACTGCTGTACTCCTACTCAAGCATTTAAATGTGTGTACGGTAGTGTTAAACTAACATTGTAACTAGTAATATATCTAGAAACAGCCATTTAGATGTGTTCAGCCTGATCAGGTAAGTTTGGGACCAATAAATGAACATTTGGATAATAACATGACCTGCTGCCTCTATAAGCGTCTCATATTTATTTGGGTACAGGGATAGCTTAAAAGGAATTTAGTACAGTTTCTAGAAGAGAGTTGAAATTAAGAAGCAAACCACCAGTGTGAGCGAGCAAATTGTGTGGTTGTGTGCCTCCCATCAGGTGCAGGAGAGTTTCATGTTGGTGTCTAAAACCTATCCAGAAATTTCAGTCATAGCTTCACCTGTACACAATGTATAAAAAAAGCCTTTTTTAACTGCTCTCAGGCTTTTCTTAAAAAGACAAATGTATTGCTCGTAGTCCGCTTTCCTCATCAATTAAAGCTTAAAGCAGTGGAGTTTATTTTAGCTTCTTTTTTGTTTCAGCTGTACAAATAATCCTAATTGGAAGTTTATGTAGGTAACCACAAGCCTATAAATACCCAGTAGTGCAAGAGTACAGTTATTACCCCACTACCTTGTACCCCCTACATGTAGACCATATGTTGTGTTCAGCTCGCTTCATTCCCGTGGTAGACCTCCTCACTGCCTTGCCATGTTCAAATGGACGTGTTAAGCTGTTTAACATGCAGTCGGGGAATAGAGTAAATTGTGGGATTTCCAGCTTTGTGCCATCGAGCTTCTGCGGCTACACACTCGCTAAGATGAAGACATATGTAGAGTTATTAGTTTCTCCCTCTGTGTAATTCTCTGTAAACCATTCCATTTAGTTCAGTCGCAGGCCGATTTTGTTCTTCTAAAGCCGAGCAGAGCGAATGTGTTTATTTGCTCCCGCTGATGTTCGCAAACATATTACAGCAGGAGCAAACAAGCTTTGGTTTAAACACAGCTTCTCTTTTAATGAGGGGAAAGGCTCATGTTTCACAAGCCCTGCAGCTGAAAACCCTCTTCTCCCAAGTGCTGTGAATGTGTTGGGCTTTGACCAAGCGTCTAGCTTTACATATGTGCACACACACATACACATACACATACATACGGAACGGTTCTCCAATATGCCTTTAAATGGGACTACTAAATACAGCCCCTGGTTTCACAAATCATGCGGATGGAAGAGCTGTGTGCTGCCAGTGCCAGCCGCTGGTGACAAATCGGCCCTGTGTGTGCTTTCAGTACTGACTGATCACCGGGCCATCCCTCCTCTTGACTAAAGAGCAGCAAACACAAAGAAACCCCCAGAAACACCCTCATTAAGGCCAGAGCCATACATACACATAGCCTGCTCCCCTTCCCAAACTTTTCACGTCTGATGATTAGTCCTTAACCCGAATCTAAAGCACGGTACTAATGGATGGCCATGTTTCAGGTATAATGTGTAAAGTGAGATTATAGCGCGATTAGGTTCTGCATTGTCCTGCGGATACTAATGACGGGCCAACGTTTTTGCCTAACCCAAAAAAGTTTTGCCTGATATTTGTTTATAATCACCATTAATCATTCCAGTTAAGGCAGTACTACGTTTGTGCTGCTTTTTTCCAATATAAAATTTGGGTTTCATTAGTTCATTTCATGCTTACAGACTCTTGGGCCTCGACGGGGCATGGATTGTTGGTTTATCTCACTGCCGCTTTGTTTAGAGCCTCATCGTATTGTTTGTGGGTTTTTTCTTTTTTCTTTTCCTTCCCTTAAAAAAACCCCAAATCTTCCCCCCGCTGCCATCGATTGCCGCGTTTCCCTTGTTAAACTTTCAGACTTAGAAGATTACCTCGGCTCGACACTGAGCGAATGGATGTGCTGCACCTTGGCTGTCCACCTCACTTTGGCTTCAGCTCACTGCCGCTGGTCTCTTCTCAGGAGCGGGGGAACTTGTTGATAGTTAAGATCATATTGTTGTGGCATTTAATTAACAAATGCAAATGCAAGGCCAGGACAGATTGGAACCCTTGACCATGCTGCCAGTCAAACCTGAGTGGGCTGGTCAGCGGCTCGCTCATCATCGCGAGCACTTTATAGGCTTTCTGTCTCTGCCTCGCCGTTTCTCCTACTTCCTGCAAGACGTCTGTTTGTCCATGCTTCTACCAATCTATTTGCCTCTATGTGTCTTTATTTCAAAACAGACTGATCTGTCCTAATTTGCCTATAAAGAACTCTTAACGTGCAAAAGCAGCATAAAAACACAAATTGGCTGTTAGCGTGCAAGATAAGATTTCTCATATTTAATTGGTTAAAATAAAAATCCTCCAGTGTGTGAGACGGCAGATTCCTGCGTTTCCTCCCGGCGTGTTTTGTCCACAGTGGGGCTCGGCCACTTAATGAGCCTCCTCCTCCTCTCCTCCATCATCTCACAGAAAGGCCCTGGATTCAGCATTTCCACCCTCCCGCTCTCTCGTCCTCCCCAAAGATGCAATGGACATCCAGTGCTGTTGTAGGTGTTAAATTATGCATAACCAGTGTAAATGCTTTGAGGCATTGGTTTAATATCTCAGCCCGGGCCTTAGAAGTATTAACACTATCATGGACATGGATTGTCCTCTTGTGGACGGCCGTTTTATGATTATGGGTCATAAGCTGCCCATTTCGTAGTGTCACTTCAGGAATTTGAACTTAAAAACCGTTGCTTTCTCACAACACAAAAAGTTTGTGTCGTGCTAAAGTTTGTCTTCTCTGTGGAGGAGGCTGCATTGTGTTTTTCCCTCCCTCCCTTCCTTGTCTCAGTTTTCTTGACTTAGTGTTGGAGAGAGTATATATAGTCATGATTTCATGTTGGGTGTTGTGTGTGTGATTTGACTGTTAACAGGATGGGGCTGGCTCATGTCAGGGTTTTTATGTCCCCCCTGTCTTGTGAGATTGTCTGGTCTGTTCCCAGAATAGCCCATCAGTTCCGCCCTGCGTGGCTCATCCGCTGTAATGTGCCTTAATGCCCGGGCCTGTATGAGTAGTGTGAGGCCTGGCAGTGACAGTGGAGGAGCATCTTAGCTTGCTGCTTATCCAGAGAAAGCCGTCACTTAACTCAGCCCCTCTATTGTCTATCCACACCCCTCTCCTTCTCCCCTGACGTGATTCTCTATAATCCTCAAACAGATTCTGGTTAGAACTCTCTGAGAACTATTTTTATGTTTTTTTTTCCTCCCATTTAAACATTAATGGTTGTTGCAGATGAAGAGAGGGATCCCTATGAGGATGATTATAATGTCACTCCACTGATCTCCCGCCGCCCCGAAATAATTGTACATCATCGCTTCATAACGTGTCAGAGGGACACGTTGGTGGCGTGCAATTAAAACCGCAGAATATAATACACCAAATTACTGCCTGTCAGGCCTACGAACAACACACTCGGTATTTGAGTTACACTTAATCATCACGTACATTAGCGATTTTGCTAAGATCCCTCCACCCCACCCCCTCCGCTCATAGAGCAAGGGCATGAAACACACTGCTCCTTACAGGCGGAGGGATTGTGTCTGTGATACAACAGCTTTAGGGTATCTACGTATTTATGTTAGAGTTAGACCTTTTGAAAGCTCATAACGTCCTATATGATTAAGCCTGGTGTGACCAAGAGCGTGCACCATGTGTTGGCAGGAACTGGAAGCAGGAATTCTGAATTCATTAACACACAACAGATGTAAACACTGAATATTTTCCTCTGACGATCCAGATTCAATAAGCCTTTTGTTTGCATATTTCATTAGTACTTTTATTAACCTTCATATGCATGTAAATATGCAGTTGCAGACCTCTAAAGTGAGAAAATATAGAAATTAAGTGTGAAATGTGAACAATAAGTGTGAACCCGTCAAGGCATACTACACTGAATATTTGTTTTTTGTATTTCAATATACATCTTTTTTTTTTTGTCAGACCTAAAAGTTGCCGAAGTAAGGTTGTGCCAGGGGTTGTGCCCTGTTGTGCATCCCTGAACTTCTGTATAGATAAAATGCCAACCATATATTTATATTGCTAGTGTATGTACTCCTTACCTAAACAGATATAGTCTTTTTTTAACTTGTTCTGATCCATTTAATTTATTAGTGCTCATCAGACACGGGGCCCGATATTTACTCCCTTCTGGAAGATATATTAATGTTTACTGCTTCGGACACTTAACAGTTTGTGTCTGGGAACATGGTCCTTGTCAGTCAGTGTAGTCCCCTTCACCAAAATAAACACATTCTGCTCTGATGCATTTAACTAAATTTAGTGTGCCATTATCGGAAATGAAATAAGTAACGCTAAAGGTCATTTGGAAAATAATGCAGAAAGGCTGGTCTGGAAAGGTTAAGTATGTGACGGAGCTGTTCTGATGATAACGAGGGCTGCGTATGGCTTGGAGAGCTCGGCATCCTGGTTTGACTCGGCACTCTGCGATCGCTCTTTATGACCGAGACAGCTTTACAGCCCGTTACCCCCCATAACACGATAAAGCGCAGCATAATGGATTGGATGTGTTTAGTAGCCTTGGGCTGATGTTTGTAAAATTAATGTTTTTTGCAATAGAAACACACTCATGCACAGGCGCACATGCACACACAGAAAGAGGCAAGAGAGGAAAAAGAGAGGAGAGAGAGAAATCAATTCTAGACAGCCTCGATGTATCAATATAAATCCACCAGTGTACAGTTTTACACTTTTTATACTTGTTTTGGTGCTGGATTGTCAAACTTTATTTCCTCACAAGTGACGCGTCCTCGCAGATATCTCTCAGCCGAAGAGATGACAACAAACATATGGCTTCA